ATGCAGACCCGCTAATATGATTGTATACTGAATTATGCAATGATTATTATTATTATCAACCAGGATATTAAAAATCTAGCATCGGCTAGCCGGTCAGCTAAGCTGCTCGGTCGGCTAATATCGGCTACGGCTATAGCCGGCTATAGCCGTAGCCGATTCCATCCCTAGTTTCGATACCACTTTCGAGTTTCGATACCACTATCGAGTTTCGATATCGATATTTCGATACTATGGGATTTATCAAAACAGTTTCAACACACCAAAATAGTTTCGAGAAGCATCATTAGGTGGGAGCATATAGCTGGCCAACAAGTATATGGCGAGCGATAGCGAAACCAAAACGAATAATAAACTTTTACAGCTAGTTCACTTGTATACCTCCGAATAATTTCCCATTACAAAATCATTAACATATAGTTCCATTACAATTTAGTAAATTTCCATTACTACATAATTTGTTCGAAATTACTTCATTTTTTCTCAACTAATAGTATTACGTTTGACTGACGTAACAGAATCTCGTGATCTCGCAATAATGCTAGCTACGTCACTTCGTTGACTAGCCAGTCAATTATAAAATTTACAGGGTCACAATATCATCTCTAGTCTATTACCGACCAGGGTACTGAAAACACTGGATAATCCGGTAAATTAAGAAAAATTCTGGTGCAGTTTTTTGATATTCAGTTTGTTCAAAAATTTAACACTTTCTTACATCATAACTGATTGTTACTATTGTTACCACCTTCGGTTATAGACTCTAAATTCCGTTTACATAATAAAAAGATCATCAGAAAAATATCATGACACGTCATGCTACAATTTTGTGCCCTGATACTGACCAATCATAATTTACGATTTTGTTCACGAAATCGCTTGTAACTCTAAAAGTTTAAAATTTTAGGTTAGAACCGTTTCGCTATTGCATTTCTCTAACTTGACCCTAACGTATACTGGAAATGTTCCCCTGCAGATACATGTAATTTTTTTTACTAATGATCGACAATTAGTGATGAAGCACTTTATTACGAATAAAACTAAAATTTTATACTTCGTCTGTTTATTGTATATTGTTCTTAAAGGCAAATTTTTATAGTACTTTAGTAAAAAAGGTAGCGAAAAGTATGCCTTACCTATGTTTTTAATATTAGCTCTGTGACAAAAAAAACCTTGAAACGATCTTCCTCTAAAGTTAGCATATTGGGTTATCATTATATCTTTTTTTTTTATAGCCGTAATTTTTTTTTTTTTTTTTTAAAAAAAAACCCCTGATATAATAGTTTTTCTTGCTCTTAGATTTTATAGAGCACCATGAATACAGGCAATAATAATAACAATGATACTTCTTTTACGACTATAGACATTTGGAATACTAGCACTAGTGATATAGAATGGCAAGATCCTGATAATACATACGTCTGTTTAGATAGTGATTTTAGTTTGACGACTGATGAAACTAAAGCGCTATCAACTATTTCAGATAATAATAGTAGCGATATTTGTGAATTTTCTTTTAATTATGATCACAATGCTTTTCAAAGAGCTCAAGACGCCGCATACACTTTTGAAAATAATGATGATAATGCGGATATTGATGATTATGATAATATTACCACTAGTAATACTAGCTCTTCATTTGTGGATTCAGCAGAATATAGTAATACACGGGAAGAGGACTATATTATACAAGATATTCCATATGAAAAGTTAGTTTCATGCGTTGTTCTTAATATTTATAATGGGAAAATACAACGCTGTCCTAATTATGAAACTCCTAGACATTTATTAAAACCTCTTTGACAACTTGTTGGAACTTGGGAAATCGATGAATCTGTTATTGATAAAAACAATCCTCATAGTATGGTATATACTTTGGGTATATGTATGACACATTTTTCATTTGATCAAAATTGATTACATAGTAAGGCTGCAAAGAATGAACGATCAGTAGATATGAGTTATATTCACTTAAGAAAGTGTTTGTTTTGCAATAAAGACTATTATTTTTTTAGTCGTGGAGAGAATTGCCAAGAACATTGTGTTTGTATTAATGAGCGCAACATACAAGTTCCTTGTATTGGATGCAAAGTTTGTCTAGCATTTTTTAACAAAGAAAAAGGACAATTAGTTGAACTAGCAACAACAGATATCTCAGTAAGATTTATCTGTTCAAATTGTTTTTAAGAAGAAGGCAAACACTTATTTGAGAGAAAAGGAAGTAGTATTAAAAATTATTCGTGTAATGAAAAACATTCTAATGACAATAAAGAAGCACTTTCCTTACTTGGAAAATGGCTTATTGATATTGCAGAATCTCAAAACGAAAACCTAAAACAAAAAATTTTAGCAAAAATAGCATTACCTTTTAGTGAAATTTTTCAAAATTTAACTAAAAACAATAATCAAAATAATATAGACAAATCAATACCAAGTTTAATGGCTATAAAAACAGCAATGCAACTTGGGAAAATAAAAATAAAAAAATTAGAAGAAAGATTTCAATTAGCTGATCTTTTAATACATAATGATCAAGGAAAAAACTTGAAGAAGTTTTTAGTCAAGCTATATGGAACACACGTTCAAGTTTAATGCAAAACAAAGAGACACTTGAATTACTGAGATCATTTGATCACTATAGTAGTGGTTTTCCTAAATTTTTAAGAGATTTTTTTGAGAACCTTATATTATTTATACAAAAAAAAAAAATACCAAGTTTGTTTAAAAAAACAAAAACAAAGAAATATAGTATCTACGCAATTTGACCCTAGACGGTCTCTTAAAATTTCAATTTTTATGATATTGATTATTCTTACTGTTGCATTTCCAAGTATTAGTATATAGTTTACGCATATATTAACTTTACTTTGTAGAAAACCAAATCTTTTAACATTATTATATTTAATTTTGTGTATAGCAAATATTGTTTCACATTCCCAACGTCATGAAAGACGACTTGAAAAAAATCATCAAAGTAATTCAAAGCTAGAAGCACGATTGCTTGAAGAAAACAATTTTTGGAGCGTATGTGTACTAGACAATATTGATTTTAAACAACAAACTTTTGTCTTTGGCAATATATATGATATTACATGCATAACTGAGCATGTATGTCTACGTATGGTCTTTCAATTTATATTACCAGTTTCACTTGAAGAAATTTTTTCAAATACTTCACAAACACAGCAATTATTAGAGATTAGTACATCAGATTTTACTATAAAAGAAATTTGTAATTTTGAACAAATATTTTACAAATTACTAAAGCTTGACAAGGCAGAAGTTGACATAAACAGGGTGTATAAAGAATTAATAACAATAACTAATATTGATATAGAATCAGGATGTCGAGTACCTGCACCTAATGTTGTTATTTTGGAACCAGACAATAACTCATGTTCTGATAAAGCAGTCCATAATGCATGTAGCATGTTCTTTAATGATGTAGGTAAAAAAACTAGTAGATGTGATAAAATGATGTAGTTGAAGATGAGGCAATCTTTCACCATTTAATTTCCTATCATGAAATTCAACCAAATGCTAACATTCTTTTAGGTGCATAGTATACTAATAAGGAAATGTATTTAACTTTGATAACAATTTTCTCAGGATATGGAATTTTTGATTTAGCAGCATATATTGGAGTAAGATTTCTTGATAAGTTGGAAAAAGTTGTTGACTATTCAGCAACATGTCATGTATTGGAGCTCATATGGATTTCTGTTGGTTTTGCAATAGGTGAAATTGCTCAAAATAATAATAGTAACTTTGAGACAATCAAAAATAGAAATAACTTTGTAATAAAAACTTGGCTTCTTTACTTCGAGTAGTGTAGTTATTGGATAGATTATAAACTCAGGATTAGATATGAATACTACCAAATGCAATTTCAGAATCTAGCTGCATTTGCTCCACTTTTTGCTATAGCAGGCAAGAGTAATTATACATGATTAGTTGTTCATTTTTTATATTATTTATTTGAAGATTTAGAATTACGCCTCTTATTACAGCATATTCTATCAGTAAATTTAACAAGAAAAGGCCATTTTTTTGCTTTTGACGAGGCACTTGAGTGTTTTGGCATTAAATATGTTAAGGAAAATATTGGTCTTATTTAGGAAACGAAGAAAAACTAAAATTACAAATAAATTCAGTGCAGTCTGAAAGAGAACATTTAGATTTGCTCTTGAATGAATACATTGGAGATGATATTATAATTACTAGAGATTGTAAACTGGAGTCTCAACATAATGTAATAGATAGCTTAAAATGTCAATTAGTTCAAGCATTTAATCAACAAGATTCAAGTATACATGAAATTTTTAATAATACATTGGAATACACAGAGGAGGGCTTTACCAATTTATTTACTTGTTATAATATAGGTATCGAAAGACTAAAAGACATACATTCTCAAGAGATTACCAAAAATATACTGCATATTACTAAGGGGCGAAGACAAAAAAACATTAGAACAAATACAATCAGTCAACAAAAAAAAGCAGAAAAAGCCT